CCATGCATCATCTATCCATCCAACCATCCATCAATCCATGCATCATCCATCCATCCAACCATCCATCAATCCATGCATCATCCATCCATCCAACCATCCATGCATCCATCCATCCAACCATCCATCCATCCATCCATGCATTCATCCATCCATCAATCCACGCAGCCATCCATCCATCCAACCATCCATCAATCCATGCATCCATCCATCCATCAATCCATGCATCCATCCATCCAACAATCCATGCATCCATCAATCCATGCATGCATCCATCCAACCATCCATCAATACATGCATCCAACCATCCATCAATACATGCATCCAACCATCCATCAATACATGCATCCATCCAACCATCCATCAATCCATCCATCCAACCATCCATCAATCCATGACTACAGAAGTTATTTATCAAACTTTAAATCCTTGTCAAAAGTTTTCCCAAGTTTTTAACTGTGGAGGTCAGATGTAGAGGTCAGAACACCAAATTTACAAGAAGCATCATCACCAAAAAACAAAGAAACGTGTTTTTCCTTAAAAAATGAAAAGATTCAACTAATTTTCTCAAAATAGTCACAACGTCAATGCATCAATCTCTAGGTTGTCTGATTTTTGTTGCAAGTCTCCCAACTTGTCTCAAGAGCCTTGAGTCCTCAAAGTCCATGCTCAATAATCCAGGTATACAATCCAACAATTTCCAGTCAGGTCATCTGGACAGTTGACCTGACTGGAAAATGTTGGGCTGCATTTACAAAGTTTACTTCTGCAGGTTAAATGATAAACGTGAGGGCGGCTGCCAAGCTGGGTACAAAGTGAGCGGAGTTGGGTACGATGCGTGCAACAGAATAATGTGCATGGCCTGGAATAGAGTTCTTTAAGCTGTGCACACAAAATAAAGCTGTGGAGGAAAACTGGCACTTTGGCTTGAATCCTGGATGTGGAACTAGTGAAAAGCACCGACAGTCGTATTTATCAACGGCTGCAGCTTAGTGAGATGAGATCCAGGCTGTGGTTAAATTAGTAACTAATCAGAACTGATCCATAGCAGTGACCAGGTCTGTTATTGATCTGATTTAGGGATGCAGCTCATCTCAGAGTCTGAATTGATGTAAAAAACTCAAATGTATCGGTGAGACATACGACGTGTCTCGTACAAACACGATCACAACTACGAAAGATGATGTTGCTGAACAGACGAACTGTGCAGATTAATTTAACAAATGTCTAAACATGTTACTCTCTTACATTTACAGTCAGCAGGGGCTTTTTATCCAACTGAAATTACTAGATTTTTTTCATCAGTTGTTTAAATATAAGAAAACTCTTAGAGGAGCTCATTATTTCTTCAAACTCAGATCAGAACTTATACTGTCAGGCTGAGTTTGAGGGGAAATGTTTTTAAATTAACGCTCAGGATTTGTCTACAGACGGAATCAAACTCTGAGTAAACTGAAGTGTCGACACAAAATAAACTGTTCTGAATAAATCCTCAGTAAAACCTTCCTGGTGACTTCAGCAAGATCCCAACAAGCACATCTAGACACCTCCAGAAAAATTCACATAAGCAGTGAGGGATGTATTTATTTTTTAAGGGAAAAAGCTGTTGTGCGTCAGTGACCAGCAGAAAGTTGTAGTGCGGTTGTTGTTCCCACTCTTTAGACATCAAGTTGCGTTCCTTTGAGCTTTGAAGAAGAGGCTGCATGTGAGATTCAGTCTGGCGTGGAGCGGTTGTGTTGCTGCAGGATGCCAGAGGTGCAGAAATGACCGTCTGCAAAACCAAAGTGGAATATGTAACAAACACAGGGAGCGAGGTTGGCTTCATTTTTAAATGTCGCGGTTCTGTGAAGACTTGCAGCTAATTCGCTGCGTCAGTCCGCGGTCGGACCAGACCGTCCCGGGGGCTGCGATGCGTCGCTGGTTGATGTTTGCTCAGGTTGACCGAGACGAGGACCAGTGAAGACATGAGAGGAAAAGAGCAGCGTCTCAGGCCGTTTAGAAAATCCTGCTCTGTTGAGTGAAGCGCTTCTGAGCGCGGGACGATTTGATGCCCTCACAACAAACACGTCCACGTGCACGTGTAATGAGCTGTTTCCAGATGGAGGAGGAGGCTGCTGCTGTCGTACACGTTTGAACCATCTCTGTGCAAAAGTCCTAAACCATTCCTTGTTGATTATCATTCATTTTAAAGAAGATAACTTTTATTAACCATTTAACGTGGTCTTAAAGCAACAGTTTCTCCGACGTTCCCAAGGTCTTGGAAAGTTTTTAAATGGACAAAGTTTTCAGCTAAAAGCTCTGGCTGCATGAATGTTTTCTGTCAAACTTAGTTATTTCTCTAGACATAAACCAGTTGAACTGACAGGCAGACGTTTCAGCTAAAAACAGAAAACTGGACAAAGGCCCTGTTCAGACACTGACATTAGATCGCAGGTGGTCGGCTCTGTTCATACCTGGCTCTCAGGTATCAGCTCTGTATGCAGATACACACAGATCCATCACACGCTATAAAACATGTATAAAACATCCAGACATCTTTAACACAGCGACCTATGTCAGAGACATTTAGGTTGTACTTGTGTGGAGTTTAGTACACACTTTGTAAAATGCCTAACTGATGGATGAGGTGTGGAAGTAAAAAAGTAGCAGATTAGTGCTGAAGATTTAACCCATGACACTCGGCTGCACTGCAGCCATCAGTTAACTTCACACATCTTCACCGCGAGTGTAACATCAGTGCTGTTCAGTTAGGTGAAAATAATGCGACACAGCTCAGCTCAAACCGTTGTTCTGTGATTGACACGGTCCATTAGAGCTTCCAGTGACCACAGCAGGTCCAAAACAAACCGAAACATAAAGAGAAAAACATCACTCGGTGATCCACTGAACGTTTCTACTGAGGGTTCTGATGAACAGCTCATTAAACCCTTTCACCAACACGAACAAAAACAACCAACATTCCCTGTGCTTCCTGAAATAAGAGTGGACTCAAGAATTAAACACGTCTGTTGTGGAGATGCATTTAAAGGAAACGAGGACTAACAAGGACTAAGAAATAAAGTGAACAGGTCACACGGCGTCTGCAGAAGTTGTGGTCCTGATTCACTCACGAGACGTTTGATTCAGAAGGAGCCAGATGAAGGGACGTCGTGACACAATGAACCCTCCTGAACTGTCAGAATCAGAATAAACTTTATCATCATTGTGCCTGGATACAGTGAGATCATGAAGACGGGCGGAGTGCACGTTGCAGCTGCTGCTAAAAAGCACGGCCCCGTATTCTTTATCAGAATACGTTTAGATAGAAAAAGGGTAAGAACCTTGAGGATAGACGGTGGCATTACAAAAAAGATCTCTTCACATCTTGTCCCGTCAGGACACGATTTGAGACGTCAAACTCCAGCAGCATTACAGCGTTCACGTCACAGACCGTCGTACAGCGTTAGCTTCTGGTAATTTTGTATCTGTTCTGAGGTCTAGCGTTGGGTAGGAATGTGTGATATAAACGGTACACGGTAAAAACTATAGACGTTTAGTCTACGATAGAGATCTGTCTTCTACCGGCTAACCGCAGTAACGCTGTGTCTGATGTAAAATCAGAGTTGTCAGATTTAATCGTTACTTTGTTTTAGTTGAAAACTGCGTAAGTGGCGTTAAAAAAATATTTTCTTCGAGAGCTAAGTAGCAAAGCTACAAGCTAACTACAGCCGGCTTGCCGTAGTGTTGCCGTATTCGGACGCATGCGCAAAACGCTGAGTTGCGTCAAAAGGTTTTGTTTTTTTCTGTTGAAAGTTAAAGTAAGCGTTGGTCATCTTTAGAGAAACCTGCTCTCTGATCTGTGAAAAGAACTCTGTGCTGTGTGATTTTACTGCGAGACCCTCTGGTCAAAGCCACAGAGGAAACCGGTCGCCATTTTGTGTCAGCTCTCCATTAAAGCTGAAGGAGACGCCCACTAGAGGGTGAAGTGTTTCAGTTGCTGCTCTGTTGCTGTTCATTTCTTAAATGAGAAGACTGGAAACTGTTAAGAGTTAACAACATATTCTTTTGTTTAAAACATAAGGCTAAAACTACATTTGATATATTTTGCACTGTTTTGCACAAGAAAGAAGCCTAATACTTGAGTTGTTATTTAAAACCTCTCTGGAACTAGTAGTGGAATTTTCTTAATTGAGATTATTTTGTGGTTTAGCAGTTTTCAAAATAAATTATGGCAAAAGGACACTATGCTTCTTTTCATTCCTATTGCAAGTTTTATACCAAAAACATATCGTGATATGTATCGTTATCGCCACCCTTCACAATACATATCGTGATATGAATTTTATGCCATATCGCACATCCCTAGCGTTAGGCAAGCTAACTTATTAGTTACACTGCTTGTATCGAACCATAAAATACTTTTGGAACAAGGAAAGTCAAACTGTTTCCTTTCTCACTTAAAGGCGGCGGCTGTGTAGATTCTCCTCTGAAGGTGGTTTGAGTGACGATGTTTCCGATCTGAACTGAAGCCATTCTCACGTGTTTAGCTCTAGCTGAGTGCAATCTGTCCACTCAGGACAGAATGTAGTGGCAGATGTCAACGAGGTAGACGTGTCTTTGTGACACGCTGCAGATAAAATGGCTGAATCAAATTTAATGTTGATTTGTTTCTAAGTTGTCTGTTTTATGTCAACTCAGTTCTGGGTAATCTCTTGAGATTAGAAGCCTTTTTTATGACTGACTGAGTCAGAGTCGATGTTAAACAGCTTAAACGGAAATTTATCTGAAAATCATCAGGTGCTTGACTGACCTTGAAAGACCTTCAGAAAGTTTTGAGCATCGATTGATCAAGAGAACATTAAAAGATTGATAAAGAGGTTGGCTCCTGGAAGTAATAAGAAATTAAGATAGTGTTTTTTTAATCTATCACAAAAAAGCAAATTTCAGTTACTAATTTAGAAATAATAAAATATCTTCAAAAAACAAAACCACACTGAAGATGTCCTGTTTTGCACCCCCTCCAGGTAAAATGCGGCGGCAGCGCTCCGTGGTCCAGGCCTCCCAGGGCGATGGCCGGCCGTGCCCCTCCCAGATGGAGCAGTGGAAGCCCTGCCCCGTCCGACCCTGCTACCGCTGGCAGTACAGCCCCTGGTCGGAGTGCCGGGTGGAGGTGCGTTCATCCATCATTAAATCGTTGCACCACATTCCAGAGACATCAAATTTCAGCGAGCACGTCGGCCTCTGGCAGCAACGATAAAATGCGACTCGACCAGATTAGAGATCGATACGCTGAACAGTTTGAGCCAAAACGTGGGTTCCTTCTAAAAATAATCCTGGTCAGTATTGATGAAGAACCCCATCAAGCTGCTGCTCAGACTGTTGTTTCGTGCGACGGACAGCAGATCAATCTGATGCATCTTTAATGCTGTTACATTAGTGGAAACCGATGCCGCTGCCAAGACTTGGGGCCGCCTGAACACTCGGTTCTGGACTCGGTGCGTTCAGGACACAATAAAAATGTCCACTGTTGTGTTTTATGGCAGAGTTAAACTTGGAAAGCTTTAATGCAGTCTGTAGGGAGTAACACCAACATTTATAATTCATCTTGAGAGTGTCATCTCAGAGAAAAACAGGATTTTGACATTTTGATTAGCATCGTCTTCTGCCAACAAATTCATCTGACTCGAGTTTCTCACGAGTCCTTGAAGACCAAACTTAAACATGTTTTTGTTTTGAGCATGAGCTTTAAAGTTCAGGTTTATAAATGTGATTTATTTGTTGTGTTTGAAGCAAATCAAAGCTGCTTTGTTCTTATTGTAGGTTATTGTTAAATAGAGAAGATAATTAATTAGGATTCCTAAACAAATACAACAAAATTCTACAAAGTGTCTTTAAAGATCTTCTTCATGTTTGATTTGTTGAACTAATAGGAAAAATTTAGTATTTAATCAGCACAATATTAAACCTCGTGTTGCGTCATGTTGACACTTTGTACAGTCTGTTTTAAAAGCAGAACATCATTATTTGGAACATAAAACATCTTTTTTTAAAGCAGGTGTGTCACGAGGCTGCAGTTGTTTGAAAAAACCACAAGAAACCGGTGGTCCTCCGTCGCTGAGGGATTCGAACACTGAATGTTTGTTGTTTTTGAGATGAGTGTTTTTCTGGACTGGAACTGAACAAAGAATGAAGTAAATGTTTTTGGTGCAAGATATTCAAGTGGGGCGGAGTTGCACTGTGGACAAGAACAGAGGGCTTTGTTGTTGTTGTTTGTCCGAGCAGAGCAACAGATCCTGGTGAGGCGTGGGAGCAATTTTATTCACCATCGGATGCAATGGCGGAGCCAGGGGGTGGACAATTGGGGCCATGGCCACCATAAATTAATCTTTGGCACCCCAAGGGCCACCACAGTCATTTGAAGAAATTATACTTTTCAGGAATATAAAAAATAGAAAACAGTTTCCTCAAATGATAGGGGCAGGCAATTCACACGCACACGCACACGTGCGCGCACATGCATACACGATGGCGGCCATCCTGGAGTTTGACGTGGCCACCTAATTTTTTGACGTCCATGATGCAGCCACACAACAACATGGAAGTCGGCACGTGACTTAATTTAGATGTTTTCCTGCTCACAATGTTTGTGTATTCATAAAAGATGGCAGCCATCTTGGATTTTGATATGGGGACCTAATTTTCAAAAGCAGCCTTTCTTACACTTCGATGCAGCCACACACCAAAATGGAAGTTGGGACTTCTCTTATCGAGTTATCATGCTCACAACGTGCACGTTGATGGACAGACACATGGAAGGTGTTTCCAGTTCCCCCTCTTTGCTCTACGACGGGGGATACAAAGCAAACGGCATTTGTGAGATGGGTCTGAAACTTTTGCTCGTGTGCTTAAACACCTTGTTCTCACTTTATTAGAATTCTGAACATGTTTAAAATGTTTGCATGATAAATACTCTCTAAAAATTGTATCCGAGTCTTTGCAAGTGTCTGGAACTCGTTTCAATTATTTTTTATAAGATAAATACAAACTTCTGGCAAATTTCAACCCAAATTTTAGACGTTTGTCCAAACGGGTCGATCAGTGATTCCAAGTGAAAAACTGAATATTTTCTCACGATTCTGTTTCTCCAAGTAGTCTCCAACAGGAACGGCCCAGTGAGATAGGTGGCTATTAAGTTATGTAACGTTAGAAAATGTTTGTGTTTCAGTTATCTTGGCTCTTGTCTAAACATTTGTGTATTTATGTGCGACAGTAGTTCACTGTAGTAACTCTGCACCCACCTGTCCTCGTCTTCTTCGTCAGAGTGTGGTGTGCGGACACGGCACGCGTTACAGGAACCTGTCCTGCTTCGTGTCGGACGGCTCGGGCGACGGTGAGAGCAGCATGGTGGACGAGGAGCTGTGCAGCAGCCTGGAGCTGGCCGTGGACAGAGACAAACAGATCATCCTTAAAGAGGCGTGCGTCCTTCCATGTCCAGGTAAGAATTCCCTGCTGGAAGTGGAGGCGAGCTCACTGTGGGGTGTGAACCACCTGAACTCCTGCACCTGAGGAATAATGTGACAACACAGCTCTCTATAATCTCAGGTTGATAAAACTCACTCAGGGTCCGGGTTTGATACAACTGCTGTTTTTTGTGCACATCTGGAGTATTTTTGATTTGGTAAACTGAGAACCTCAGCGTGAATGTGAGTCTCTGTAAAACAAATGGATCCCGAGGAGTCAGGACCCAGACAGCTGCTGAAGTTTGAACCTCAATTATTTAGTTTATGGTTACAGATTAATATCAGTATCCGAACAAAGTCTGTTTACCTTTACAGCCATCCTCGTTAGCAATCGATTATGTAGATAAAGTTACTATATTTGCATTATTGAGCTGCTCACAGATCAAATCAACAGAACTAACTTTCGTGACAGAGTGGCTGTTATCAGTGCAGCTGTAAAACTTCTGGAGACGACACGGAGAACACAAACATGTTGATCTGGACTTCATGCAGCGGTTCTCCACCCAGAAAATCACAGAAACAAACTGAAAAACAGTGTGAATGTAGCGGGGCATAGTTCAGATAATTTACTGTAGAGGCCGATGTGCAGCTTTAAACTGCTGACCTGAACGCACCTGTCTGCTCTCCAGTCAAAACATGGATACACAACATGACGACACTTTCATCAAATCATGAGGCAGAAGAGTCACTTTACACGCCGCCTTCAGTAAATTATTTTAACGTGTTCATTTTATAGCCGATAAAAGTGAATTAATGTCTAAGATTATGTATCCCAATCTATCAAAACAAGAAAATCTCACTAAGCATTTATCACCGTAACAACTTTTCACTAGTTCTGCAGAACAAAAGCTGTAAAAACAAAATGCTGCACTTGATATTTTTTTAAATAAAAGATTTGAAATAAAATAGCAGCCCTTAAAGAAAAATATATCCATCATCTTGCACGACAAAACGTTTTCAAAGCTTCATGTTACAAATTAAAACTGTTCATTTTTTGGTTTACGGTTGGTTGCAACATTTTTGAATGGATGTAATTTAATTTCTGTCTTAAAACTGATTTCACTCAAAGGGATTATACAGTAGTTCCTCACTGCTTCGTAGTTCATTTATCGAGGACTCGCTCTATCGTGGTTTTTGAAAATAAGATTGGACATGACACACAATTGGCTGATTGATGGATGAGCCACAAGATCGGCATGGAAATTTTATTTAAAATAAATTATTTTAAATTATTTAGCACCTGCTGCACATTTGTGCAGCCCATACTGCAGGATAAACTTCCTGCTGCAGCTGATCAGCTGTTCACCGTGCAGAGCTGAGAAGTGGGCGTGGTCAAGAACGCTTGCAGGTGGCTGAGAGCAGAAGAGGCAGGGAGCTGAAATTATGACATTCTGTCTCTTTTAGAGCGTTTAGAAACATTTTTTTAGAATATTTCAAGAGTGTAGGAAGAGTTTAAAACGTCTTCATATATATATATATATATATATATATATATATATATATATATATATATGTATATATATATATATATATATATATATATATATATATATATATATATATATATAATAAACTTACTACTTGTACTACTTGGCAGTTTTTCACTTTTCGCAGGGCTTCAGGGTACGGATCCCCCGCGATAAACGAGGGACTACTGTATTTATAAATTTCAGCTCATTTAGTGAATTTATACAATGTATTCACATTTGTTCATCTGTGGAATTACTTTGATCAGAGGACAGTTACCTCACAGTATAGCTCCAAAAATAAGAAAGCTTAGCTTAGCTTTATGATAAACTACAGACACTTGAAACTGACACAGAGAGAACATAGTGAGTTTTAGACACACTCTTGAATTAATCCTGGGCATACAAATAAATGTATTTTAGTGATAATATAGTTTGATTCCAGGAACTAAAGCTTCAGAAAACAGGGAGTTTACCGAGAGCGTGTCTCAAACAGGCTGTGCGCGCTCCCGCGGTGGCGCCCCCTCTACTAGCGGGAGTTTGGGTGGGCGGATGTGTCTGTATGCTGATGATGTTAGTCTGACTACAGTTAAACTTTAGATAAAAACTTCCCGAGACATTGGTGCAAGGTGTGGAAGGGGGGGGGGGGTGATGGGGTAAAGGGTCATTTGGCGTCTTCCCTCCCACACAGAATTGCTCATGCACAATAAGATAAACGTTTCTGAAAGAAATTACAAACCGGATTCCAAAAAAGTTGGGACACTAAACAAATTGTGAATAAAAACTGAATGCAATGATGTGGAGGTGCCAACATCTAATATTTTATTCAGAATAGAACACAAATCACAGATCAAAAGTTTAAACTGAGAGAATGTTTCATTTTAAGGGGAAAATCTGTTTTTTCCAAATTTCATGGCGTCAACAAATCCCAAAAAAGTTGGGACAAGTCCATTTTTCCCACTGTGTGGCATCCCCCCTTCTTCTTACAACATTCAACAGACGTCTGGGGACAGAGGAGACCAGTTTCTCCAGTTTAGAAATAGGAATGCTCTCCCATTCATGTCTAATACAGGCCTCTAACTGTTCAATCGTCTTGGGCCTTCTTTGTGGCACCTTCCTCTTTATGATGCACCAAATGTTCTCTATAGGTGAAAGATCTGGACTGCAGGCTGGCCATTTCAGTACCCGGATCCTTCTCCTACGTAGCCATGATGTTGTGATTGCTGCAGAATGTGGTCTGGCATTATCGTGTTGAAAAATGCAGGGTCTTCCCTGAAAGAGATGACGTCTAGATGGGAGCACATGTTGTTCTAGAACCTGAACATAGTTCTCTGCATTAATGGTGCCTTTCCAGACATGCAAGCTGCCCATGCCACAAGCGCTCATGCAACCCCATACCATCAGTGATGCAGGCTTCTGAACGGAGCGTTGATAACAACTTGGGCTATCCTTGTCCTCTCTGGTCCGGATGACATGGCGTCCCAGTGTTCCATAAAGAACTTCAAATCGTGACTCATCTGACACAGAACAGTCTTCCATTTTGCCACACTCCATTTTAAATGACCCCTGGCCCAGTGCAAACGTCTGAGCTTGTGGAGCTTGCTTAGAAATGGCTTCCTCTTTGCACTGTAGAGTTTCAGCTGGCAACAGCAGATGGCACGGTGGATTGTGTTCACTGACGATGCTTTCTGGAAGTATTCCTGAGCCCATTCTGTTATTTCCTTGACAGTGGCATTCCTGTTTGAGGTGCAGTGACGTTTAAGGGCCCGGAGATCACGAGCATCCAGTAGAGTTTTACGACCTTGACCCTTATGCACAGCGATTGTTCCAGATTCTCTGAATCTTTTCATGATGTTATGCACGGTTGATGATGATAACTTAAAAGTCTTTGCTATTTTACGCTGGGTAACACCATTCTGGTATTGCTGCACTATCTTTCTGCGCAACAATGGTGGCATTGGTGATCCTCTTACCATCTTGGCTTCTGAGAGACACTGACACTCTGAGAAGCTCTTTTTATACCCAATCATGTTGTCAATTGACCTAATTAGTGTTAATTGGTCTTCCAGCTGTTCGTTATATGCTCAATTTCCTTTTTCCAGCCACTTATTGCTACTTGTCCCAACTTTTTTGGGATTTGGTGACACTGTGAAATTTTGAATCAACATATTTTTCCTTTAAAATGTTACATTTACTCAGATTAAACTTTTGATCTGTCATCTATGTTATATTACGAATAAAATATTGACATTTGCCATCTCCACATCATTGCATTCAGTTTTTATTCAAAATTTGTTTAGTGTCCCAACTTTTTTGAAATCTGGTTTGTACATGCCAAGATGTTTATGGTGAGGAGGGCGGTTCCATTGGGATGGCAAGCCGCCCTCCTTGGATAATGGTAGAGGAAATGCTGGGGATGACTCTCAGCTACCACCACATCACACTTTAGCTTAATATTTGCAAAACTGACTGAGCTTTAGCCATTTTTGTTTTTGTTACGGTTGATTAGCTTTCTGAACGTCTCACTGAAATGTGTCCTGTGGTTAAGGAGATGTTTTGTGAATAAAACAAAGACAAACCTGCAGACTGTTACATGATCATCCACATTTAACAGCTGTGGGCAATGAAAAGGGGCTAGCTACAATTACCTGCAGTATCAAGACAACTTGATGCATTGTTCTTTTTCCATTTACTGAGGTGTAATTTAAGAAGATTTATAGATGATAAAAAAACAGAATCTGGCCCAAACTCCCCTCACGTCTCCAGATGTTGCACATCTCCATCAGAAACAGTCCAGCTGTGAGGAGCCGGTCTGAAGAATCAAGCCGTGCTCTTGCTCCTGAACATCTGTGTTTGTCACATGTAAAAACACCTCAAACTAAAAATACTTTAGTTATATTCACACACAGTGATGCTCACAGTCGTTGCATGATTATAATAATCAGGAAAATGCAATATTTCATGACAGATTACCTCGCCACCTTGTATTTAGCCTCAGATTTATTCAGTCGTCTGTTTTACTTGGGGCGTGCGAATCAGCTGAAACCAGCTCGTCACCTCGGAGCGAGCGCCTATAAAAAGCGTGAAACGCATCGAGGTTTTCACTCCAGCAGCAGTCTGATGATTCCTCGCAGGCCCTCCAGCAGCGAACGCCATTTGGGTGTCAAAGCATCCTGCCAAGACAGAGGCACAACTGTGAGGAGCTGTTTTTAGTTTCAGCACCTCCTGATCTTCAGCTGAAGCAGACTGAAATGAAACGTTGGCTCCGTTAGCAACGAGGCACAGAAGCAAAGGGATTAAAAACAAAACAACAGCAACAAAAAGGGTGTTCCATCATCCGTGGGTCTGAGATTCTGATAAGGTATGAAACAAAAAGATGGTACGTTCAGATACAGCCACAGTGAAGAAGAATTTGCTGTGTTGTAAATAACACTGTGAATTTTCTGCGTTTATTGATCGGAGAAGCTGATTAGGTGGAAAACAGATTTATCAGCGCTGATTATGAGCAT